GTCATGCTGTACAAGATATCCTTCGATCTGGGCATGGTACAAGTCAACACCACCTTTCGTTGTAGCCCCAGCACCTGTTCCTCCCGATGCTCCTGACGTTCCTGCCGTTCCCGATCTTCCAGACGTCCCCGACATTCCAGATGGCCCCGACGTTCCCGGTTGCAATTTTCAGTGGCTCGTCTCGTCGATTCGTTCAAGAAGAAACGAAACATCGAGTGCTAACCTCGTCCAAAAAATGATGTATCATCACGTAACTTTGGCTCATAACCAACGAGAATTTCTCATAGCACTTAGAGTAGACGTTGTTTTTGGAGCAATAGCTTTTAGGTTGTAAAAGCAAAAGTGAATCGAGGCGAGTTGTGTTGCAACGGGGAAGACCGCTGTCAAAACCCCTTCCCAGTTATCAGTAACAACTCCAGCTCACAATGAGCAAGGGAGACCAACTGTGGTCACGATCCTTCTCTAAAATACTCCACAGAGCATTTCTAGGATTCCCTTATAGTCACAACCACTCACAATTTTGTCTAGAAGTCTCGTAACATCTAGTCCCTATGAGATGGGGCGACGCAGTGTTGGACATGACCTTCAAGGTCCTCAAGGCCAAGGTCGTGGACGAAGCCGCTCACCACCACGATTCTTCGATTGCGGCAGATCACCGCTGCGATGCCAAGGTCGTGCACGGAGCCGCCCTTCGCCACGATTCTTCAACCGTGGTAGATCATCGCAGACAGGACAAGGTTGCGCAAGATCTCCGCCTTCGCGTTGGCGTGCTAGATCTCCTCCTCGTGGGAATTTTGGGCCAAGAGAGTCACCAAGCCATTAGCACCACCAATGCAAAGGGATGGACCACCTCCTGCGCGAGTTCTATCACCAGGCCGTGGTAACTTCAACCAAAACGGGCACAATGACTAGGCATGTCGCCACGACGTCGTGAGCAGTTACCGCGCCGTTTTGGTGGTCGAGATTGGGACCAGTCGCCAAGGACGCGTCATGTCTATGCGGTGAACCGGAACGACCAAGGTATGCAATCTACGACAAATCTTGGAGACCCAGTCCAGTGGATCCTTGATTCAGGCTCGCAGGCCAACATCTGCGGGGACCTGTCATTGTTCAGGACGATAAAGGAGGACAGGACGAGTCGACTGGACTTTGCGAACGGAACAACTGAGCATTCAACAATATCTGGCACTGGATTACTGTGTGTTGATAACCAGGTCACTGGAACTCTGGAGGATCGACTTCTGGGGGACGTCATCTACACGGAGAACGTCAAGGACGACATAATTAGTCTGGGTTACTTGCAAACGACCGGCAGATACAAGCTTACCTGTTCGGCAGACCAGCACACGTTCTGGCTTTCCAAAGCAGGAATGACTTTGAAGTTTGAGAAGAGAGCGAACATCTATCGCTTGAAGATGGAACGTGTAGCAGGTGTGATGGTGATGGCAGTCCAGAAGCAAGAGCTCGATAGAAAGAGATGTATGGAGCTGCTGCACCAGAGATTTAGGCACATGAGCATGAACACTATCAACATTTTGGCAACGAAAATTGATGTTGGAGTTAAAGTGAATGAACGAGGCTTAGCTCCCTACGAATGTTTTGCCTGTGCTGGGAGCAAGGCCAAACGAATGACTTTCGCTCGTGTACCTGTCCGAAAATACTTACCTTTAGAAAAGCTTATGGAGGACATCTGCCCGGTGAATGGACCGACAGTGGATGGAGCAACGATGTTCCTGTTCGTGGCGGACGAAGCTACGCGCTTCAAGTGGGTCTACCTGATGATGGCCAAGAGCGAGGTGACGTGGCACATCAAGGTGCTGGCGAATCGCCTGTGTGTGCGCTTTCCAGAGCAGCACGTGCGCCGCTTGCATTCCGACCAAGGTGGTGAAATTCTTGGTGGTGAATTGACAGAGGTTTGTGGAGAGCAAGGGATTGAGCTCACGACGACCCATTCCTACCCACCTCAAGAAAATGGCATTGTGAAAGAGCGAACGGCATTTTATTACCACGGATTAGAGCTATGCTGGCGGGCACGCACTTACCTAATTTCATATGGGGAGAGGCGCTGCTGTACGTGATTATGACGCTAAACCGCTTGCCAACCAGACCTCTGGGGCTGGCCTCACCCAACGAACGATTGTGGGAAGAGGAACCTGCCCTTGATGACTTGCGGACGTGGGGATGTCTGGCACATGTGGGAATCCCGCCCGGGTCAAGACAAAATGAAGAGAAATTATCGCCACGAGCAAGACTAAGTTTATTACTTGGTTATGGAACTTCTACTCCTGGCTACAAGTTTCTGGACTTGGTGACGGCGCAGGTTGGGACTGCACGAGGCGGTAACGTGAGATTCCATGAGTAGTTCACGTGCAAAGGCACCTATGCAAGGCAATTATTAGAGAATGCCTATCTCGATGGAGATCATGAACTTTCCTCAGAACGTACCTGTTCCTCGCATTAAGCAAGTATGGAGACGTATCTGCCTGGCAGGAGTGTAGAGTTGGCTGCTAAGAAGAAGCAACTCGTGTTGGTATCACTCGCCGCAGAACCTGCAGAAAACTACCAAAGTTCTGTTGAACATGAAGTGACAGAAGACTTACCTGCGACCGCAAGCAGTGATGGGTTGGTGCATGGTGTTGTAACACCAGCTGCAGAAAAGGAAGTTGCCAAGGAACCAAGCGAGGTGTTCAAGGCAAGAAAGCGCAGGAAGCGCAAGAAAAATGCTGCGGAGGAAAACACGGATGAAGTTTCAGTCGAAGGCTCATCTGCAGAGCCAAGTCTGAAGCGACCTCGACGGAAGCAGAAGGCGAACGTGTCACTGGCGGACTATGTTGTTGGAAATGTGTTGATTATGGGGGTTGCGTCTATTCCTACGACCTACAAGCAGGCACATGCAAGTGAACATTGGCCTCAGTGGAAGGCTACCATTTTGGCAGAACTTCAGTCGCTGAAGGGTCATGAGACGTTTGTGCCAAGGAAGACAGCGAAGAATGCCAAGGCCATCACCTGTTGCTGGGTGTTCGCTGTTGAACGAGACGAGCGAGACCGTGGGAAACGGTTCAAGGCCAGATTGGTGATACATAGATTCAAACAATAACAAGGGGTACACTACAACGAGACGTATGCACCTGTGATTCGCATCGAAACTATTCGTGCTGCTATCTACTTCGCTGTGCAGCGAGGTTGGGATGTGCTGCAGTACGACGTCAAGAATGCGTTCTTGTACGGGGAATTGGAGGAGCGCATTTTCATGGAGCAGCCGCCCGGATTCCAAGTTGACGGACAATACTACATTTGCCGACTGCTGAAAAGCCTGTACGGCTTGAAGCAGGCGCCTAACATCTAGAACAAGACATTACGTGCAAAGCTAATGGCGATGGGCTTCACGAGGACCGACTCAGATTATAGTATGTATGTATTGATGGAGAATGGCGAGATTAAGCTACTGCTGACTGTTTACGTGGATGCCCTACTGCTGATGGGTCCACGCGCCAAGTGTGCCAAGTTTGCGGCGCTGCTCCAAGAGAATTTTGAGCTCACGACGATAGGTACGCTTAAGTATCTACTTGGCGTCGAAATCATGACCGATCGGTTGCGCCGACAGATTAGAAGCAGTACGCGGTTGAAGTGCTGAAGCGGTTCCACATGGAGAACTGCAATGTATGTGCTACACCTGATGCGACGTCGCCCTCTAAAGCTGACGTGCCGATTATGACTGCCTACCTGCCTTACCGGGAACTGGTTGGCGCACTACAATACTTGGTGAGAGCCTCAAGGCTGAACATTGCTCATTCGACTCGGCATCTTGACAAGTATCTATTGAGTTACGATCACACACATTACGCACAAGTCATACGTGTACTACAATATCTGAAGTCTACCTGCGACAATGGATTAGCGATGAATGTGCGAATGCAGAAGGACGTGCGAATCCGCAGCTACTCTGATGCGGATTACGCTCCTGACCCTGTGGATTGAAGAAGCATCAGTGAATACGTTACCATGATTGACGGCAATGTGCTGTCGTACGTGTCTCGCAAACAGGAGATCAATGGGCTGAGCACATGGGAGACGGATTATGTGGCGATGTCTGAAGCGACCAAGGACTTACTATGGCTTGCTGGCCTATGCAAAGAATTACATTGGACACACCCAGTACCGCTGCTGTATGGCGTCAACCAGGGTGCGATTGTGCTGACATCTAAGCCAGGCAAACATTCGAAGTGCAAACACATCGACCACAAACACCACATAGTATGACGCAATGTGGAGCTCAAACGCATCGATACACAGTATGTTGGCACCGACGCGATGGTGGCCAACGTGATGACCAAGGCATTTGGTGCTGTAAAATTTGCTGGCTTTTGCAAGGCCATGAAGGTGTTGCCACTTGTGGGCGAGAACGACGTGACTCCACCCTCCCAGATTGCGGATGAGGCGAGTGTTACGAAGGTTACTACTACTGCGACAGAGCGTCATGGCTAAGGATTACAACTATGGAATTGACTGGGGTGAGTGGCTTGTGTCTTTACCCTCTTCAATGGAGTGAGTGGCGTGTGTCTTTAAGACCAAGTTGGGGAAACCTACTTGTGCGGTTGCACTGTTACATGTTACTACACTACATTTGTTGAATATGACTACAAGGAATTTGAAGAATGCGATGCGATTGAGTGGGAGCATGTACTGTACGAACTACAAAGTTGGCATGCTGTACGGAGGTGATCGCGACGACTTGACACTCGCCGTCGAGATCAAGTGGGAGTGTGAGGTTCTACCCTCTGGTATCCTACCCCACTGCAAAGCCGCATTGAGTGCAGTCTGCCTGTGTCCAACGCCCATTTCAGAGACACCGTCCCCTGGCAGTGTCCTATCATCCTACAAGCTAACGTACGCCTCGTTGCTCGCGCACGACTTCTCCGCCGCTAGCTCCATCGTGTGCTGCATTATGCTGAGGGCTTTATGCAGAAGGATATTGCTGGCTGTGAGCTACCTGGATTGTGGGAACACACAAGGACTCAAGTTTTGTATGACTATATTAGCTTCTTCTACTAATCTACTTTGCAGAACGCGGCGCAAGGTAGGACTGGCGTTTCACTTCTGCTTTGCAGTATGAAACACACGCGAGAAGCCGCCCTACCAAGCGCTGCGGTCCTGTCGGTGCTTTTCTTTGCCCGGCAATCACTGTCTTACGATCTTCTATCTGTAAAACTTGATCTATAAGTGTATTGATAGATTACCATCTAAATGGCACCAACACTACGAAGTGGAGGACACTTAGAGAGCAACCCGGTGATGAACCCTACGTCATCACACTTAGAACCAGCACTACGTCTTGATGTTCACTTCTGGTTACGACCTACGTGGTGTGTCCGCCAAGGTCAACGGCGGAACAACTTGAGGAATTATAGATGACCGAAAAATATAGAAATAGATATTACCTCTAGTATCTAGATTTCAGAGATAACAAATACGGAAGGTACATCTAGTTAGTAGAGTTAAAGCAAATCGTCATATGAATTTATATTTTGGAGATAATTAGTTACTGAACTATCAAATATGAAAAGATTGCTAGCATTTGCTGGCGTCGACCTATAATCTACCTATCCTCCATATGGTGTGATATAGCCTCGATTTTTTGCTAGTTCGACTGAGATATTTTTTTCATTTAACTATAGCTAGTTAACGGCTGCGAGTCTGAAACTATAAAACCATCACTTAAGCGGGGAAACGCGGAACTTTCTATCAAAAACATTTCGAGTCAATCGCACAGCTGGCTGCCAAGTTACAATGCCATAAAGTTTGGTGGTGTATTTCATCGTGCCCGTACCATAGTAAGAATTAGTTGGGGGTGATGGAAACGTACTTAACCCACCCAGTCCTCCGGTTTTTCCCCCCCCCCCCGATATATTGTGGGTTCAACTCGAAATTGGGTTGAGCGGTTGGTTAATCGCTCTGGAGGAACCGGCACTAAAATCGCTCATCCTATCTTATCGCATATGCAAGGAAAGAGGAACCTATGTCGTATCATACAAATATGCAAACACGCATAGGTTGTCTTTGCAAGATATGCAGAGCTGCTTTTGCCTAGATCCTTGAAGACGTTGACACTGATGGCTAGCAACAGGAGAGAATCTAGTGCTGGAGCTGCGCCTAGACGAATGTGTCGTTCGCCAGACTACTTGCGTCGCCATAACCAGAGAGACGACGCCAATCCGTGAATGCAGGGAGGTGCACAGCGTCAGACAATCTCGAGACTGAACCTTCGTCCCTTGGATTATCCGTCTCAAGTTTACAGACACTGCTTCCACCGGCAAGAGAGGCGAGGGAGTAGAATGCCATGGAACAAGGGGAGTACCAGTACAGCAAGCGCCATAGCGAATAGATCCGATCGTTCCGCCAGCATTACTACCGGAGGGACACCTACAAGAAGAAGTCGACAAACTCGGCGTGCCTGCACACCGGTTACCACCAGCTGGACAGTTCCAAGGACAACAAGAAAGTCCTGTATCTCCACACCATCCACCACAATTCACGTTGCCATTGGGTGCAACACCAGTATTAGATTTGCCAGATCAAAGTGATACCATGCCCTCGCAGCCAATTGTTGGGGGAGAAGCGGTTTCAGGTCGTAGTACGGCCAACTGTCAAGATCACTATTGGTTAACGAGATGCGTCAGGAACTACGTTGGAGGATTTTGTAGCCAACGGAGTTACTTTTGACGAGGTCATCCAAAAGCTGTGGGATACCTTTAGTCAACATGTGTCTTCGTGAACATGTGTGCAAGCTCTTTTCGCGATAAACCGTGCTCGTGAAAACCGTGCAAGCCGGAAAGCACTATGTTGGGATGTGCGTGCCTCATTGTCACCGCTTTCTGTGTCGTATTGGGAATTCACGATTGTACCCCTCCCGCCACTCACAACAATTCGTCAGCTCCGCAAAGAGCTAACGACGAGCGGGATCAAAGGAATATACTTGATAGTCCTCGACTCGATCCCCTTCTGAGCTTCATTTAACTCTGGGCTGGTAAGGTGGTAGGTCGTAGGTCGACCAAAACTGACGTCCTTGGCACGAGCACTCTAAGTCGCCTTCTCGTTCTCCTTAAACTTGACCCTGCCTGCCCTTCAGTGATGGAAGGTGCTTGACTTCTCAGCCATACGCAGCGGTACTGGGCACTTGCTCCAGCGGTAAGAATTACTAGGAATATGTTTCCAGTCTTCGACGATGACTCGTCGGCCTTCAATACGACCAAACCTCACACCTAGCGCTTGGTATTGCCACGGATGAACGGGAGGTCTTCAACCGAGTTCACCAACATACATATATGCCACCCTAAGTGACCTGGCCCTTTTGGACTTACCCCAAACGAAGTCTTGACTTTAAGTAGCAAATTCGGTTATGGTCTCCGCCCTAGTTGGTGTTGAGACTAGTCATGACCCCATACTATAGCGTATACAAATATCAAGTATAAGTGCGACTAAGCTACGACTCTCAAACGGCTACCAACATTTCGGCCAATCACCTGTTGATGACTCGCCTAAGTGCGGATCTCAACTACCGGTCATGTAGAGTGTTGTACATATAGTGACATACTGTAGTCCTTATAGAGAGACCTCTACAAGACTTTGTCGTAGTCCGGCAAAGTCCGGTTAGGCGGTCCCTACAAGTACGTCCCAGTCACCAACTCCCGATCCCACACCAGCTTAAGCCCATCAAATTCAATAACAGGGATATTCGTGGTAAGCTTGGGTATAGTCAAAATCGTCGAAACAGCACTAGAAGTGTTGATGGCACATCTTGCGGTAGCGGGATTGGATAAGACTTACGAGTGTGTCGCCATTGTCTACGACATTCCCGACGAATTTGACTATATTCTAGGAATCCCATTCCTCGAGAATTCAGATATAAACTGGAGTAGTCGCATGATCGAAGAGACAATAATAGAGACTCAGCGAGTCAAGCGAGCTAACTACCGAGGAAAACGGACCGGTGAATGTATCCGGGCTTCGGAGATCTGTCGAGGCAAAAGGCCTGTCGGCGAAAAGATCCGATCCCAGTGGAGGCGCGGCGTGGCGATGGAAATAGTTGTGAAGTCACCAGCCAACCAAAGCTGCAACAAGTAGTGACCTAAGTGTTGTCGACGGATAGTAAGATGAAGACTTAGTCGGTAGACGTCCGCCACAGGAAGATGGCATCTTTGAAGGATGCCGATGTACTTCTTCATCAAGCGCAAATATCCATCATCAGAGTCTCTAAAGGCTTGGACGTTAGCACTGGGACTCGACCATAAGTCATGCACTTGGCTTGGCTTTGCTGGCCGCGCATACCACGCATTCGTAGGAAGTCAAGCCGTTTTCGTTGATCATGACACCCATATCCAACTTCTTTTAGTAGACATTCATCGCATCCATGCCCAAAGCGCTAACGAAGCAGCTCCATGGTCCGTTTACTGTCTATGTCTTGTTTCAGAGCCGCCATTACCATCACCAGTCACTCATTGTGAACGCAGCCGGTACATGTTGTCACGCATCTCGAACTTCAAGATGGTATCTGGTTTAGACAACCAAGCAGTCTGCTGATCTAGAGAGCAGGTGAGTTTGTACTTGCCTGTCGTTTGCAGGTACTCAAGACTCATTATGTTCACCTTTGCATTAGGATTGTACACCACTTCGTCAAGGGGACGGTCTTCAAGTTCTCCAGTAGCTTTGTTAACCACTCGTAATAAAACAGAGCCGTATAGTATTATGTGCTCCGTCGTACCATTCGGAAAGTCTAGTCGTGATGTCTTGTCCTCTTTAATTGTTGTAAACAATGACAGGCCTCCATACACATTGGCCTGGGATCCCGAATCAAGTATCCACTCGAGAGAGTCAGCAGAGACACCATCAGCGGTTTACATGCTATCATCACGGCTCACCGCATTCACTTACCGTGATCTTGGAGGTCCTCCGCCTTGACGACTGTCAAACCGGCGAGGTGA